GAGTGCACGGAATGTCAGAAGACAGCACCCGGAAGCAAGACCGGCAGCTCTAGCAGTCCCATGGAAGTGGATGATGGCGACGAGCAGGAGAAAAGCAGGTGACTTACTGGTGTACGCAGTCCTTNCAGGAGAAAAGCAGGTGACTTACTGGTGTACGCAGTCCTTCGTAGCGGGGCAATCTACTGCTGCTGCTGCTGTACAGAGCGGAGCGTCTACCTCCTGTAGTGCTGCACGCATCGGCCAAAATCTGATTGACCGTCAATCCAGGACATGTCAATGCACCGCCCTCCGTTCCTATTTGGGTTCATACGTTACACGCGACAAAGTGTAGCGTTGTTTTTGTACAAAATCTTGACTCCCTGTGCTGCGGCAAAAAAAAGACACGTGTAAAAACATGTTGTAAAAACATGCGTAGAATATGTGTGACGACACACACACACGACACACACGAAAATCGAAGGCGAAACAGCGAGACGGCGCCCGTGCTGGGATGGAATCATACTTGTTCCTTCCCAGCAGTTCTGTCTGGCGCGTAGACTGCATGTCTGTGCTGCTGTGATATTGCGTGCAGGTGCTGCTCCGCGGAATAATTTTCGCACATCACAGGAGGTTCTTTGTTGTTGGTGCTGTGGGCATGAAACATAAACCATTTCCTTTTTTTATTGCCGAAAATTGTTGCGTTAGATGGTGCGTGCGCAAAAAGAATAGACATTTGTCGAGCAAACACGAGGTTACCTCGTGTATGTATACGACAAGACGCCGGTGCACTCGTGTGTGCCGCTGCTGCGCAATGGTGGGCTGTGCTGCCCCAGCAAAACATACGTGTTCTACTNGCGACAATGCCGCCGCGGCCGCCACTAAGAAGCGCAAGGCGTCAACCCCCGGGCCGGACACTGGCAAAAACAAGCTCAACTTACGGCAGCGGCACGAGCTCGTCAAAGAGGTCCAAGATGGTGGTGTCAGGGCTAAGGTCGCGGTCAAGTACGGCGTCAGCAAGGGGTACGTCGCAAAGCTGATGATGCCCGACAACATCGCTAAGCTCAGCAAGGCGGTCCAGACGGAGCTCAACCCGGAGGCCCGCCACGTCCTGGAACCGGTGGAGGCGGAGTTGGAACAGCGTGTTCTCAAGTGGATCACGATTGCGCGAGAACGATTCATGGTGAGGGCTGACGTTGGACGCCGGGTCGGATCAATTGTGTTTTGATATGGTGGGCAGCTTATCAGTTGTACGTCCCTCGTTTGAGAATTCCCGTTTGCGTTTTGTTGGGTATGATTTTCGATCGCGTCAGTCCTTTCCGGTCCCCACACATCATGGTACCGACCTGCCTTCGAAATCCTATGCACCTACAACTGCAGCCGCTGACGTCCGTTTCTTACTGGNTGGGGCGAGTGGCGGCGGCGGCGGCGGCGACAATGCCGCCGCGGCCGCCATCAAGAAGCGCAAGGCGTCAACCCTCGGGCCGGACACTGGCAAAAACAAGCTCAACTTACGGCAGCGGCACGAGCTCGTCAAAGAGGTCCAAGATGGTGGTGTCAGGGCTAAGGTCGCGGTCAAGTACGGCGTCAGCAAGGGGTACGTCGCAAAGCTGATGATGCCCGACAACATCGCTAAGCTCAGCAAGGCGGTCCAGACGGAGCTCAACCCGGAGGCCCGCCACGTCCTGGAACCGGTGGAGGCGGAGTTGGAACAGCGTGTTCTCAAGTGGATCACGATTGCGCGAGAACGATTCATGGTGAGGGCTGACGTTGGACGCCGGGTCGGATCAATTGTGTTTTGATATGGTGGGCAGCTTATCAGTTGTACGTCCCTCGTTTGAGAATTCCCGTTTGCGTTTTGTTGGGTATGATTTTCGATCGCGTCAGTCCTTTCCGGTCCCCACACATCATGGTACCGACCTGCCTTCGAAATCCTATGCACCTACAACTGCAGCCGCTGACGTCCGTTTCTTACTGGTGTTGCCGGTGCTCTTCCCTCTATACAATTTTGCAGACAACAAAGATCGGGCTGAGCGGCACAATGATCCAACATCGGGCCGTGAAGTTCGCGTCCGAGATGGGCATCAAGTTCGCTGCAAGCAACGGTTGGCTTCACCGCTTCCTCAAACGAAAGGCAAAGGCGTTGCCCAGCATGGGGGTTGCGCGGGGGTGAACCGTTCAGTAAACGCAACACCATGCGCCAACCCACTTTTGTTTTTCATTATCTACTAATTTTCTATTTGTGGAGAGGGATGTACCAGAGCAAGAAATCTTGGGGGGGCAATACCTGCCCGCATATGGCGAATAGTCACTTCACTTGAAAGTTGCCTGGTCACTACTAGATAGTAGGATGTTCCCACTTAAATAGTTGTTCCCCGGGGGGATCAAGGAGTTGGCTTTCCCGACCGATTTGTTTTTGCTGTGTCTGGGGTGGGTGGAAACTACTGCTGTACGTGTGCACGAAAAAAGCGGCCTTTATTGTGACTGTTGTTGACCTCTCCAAGTGTTGAACGACCCACATGGCTCGTCTGACAACCGCACATGATTTTGCTCAGATTGATTCTACAAGGTCCGCGTACTCCTGCCAATCATGGCATTGGGAGGTGATGCATGTTTTTTTTTTTTAGTTTGAGGTGCAACGATTCTTGACGCGGCAAGCGACGAGACTCCTTCCACCTTTTGGCGAGGATGTCGCACACGTGATGAAATATTCGGATTGTTTCCGGAAATATTGTAACTCCCTCCGACCCCTTAAGATTTGGCTATACAGCAGCAAGAAGTGCAGCTACAGCATTATGACAGAGCATTGCGATTCTTTCACGCACGTCGGGTTTGCCCTCGAAGGAGGACATTTTTTTTGTTGTTCTCATGTTTGGTTCAAGGTTCTGCGGATCCTCATATTTATTCCAGACGTTCAACATCGTCACGTGTCGTTTTGGACTGACGGATGCGTCAAAATGACAGCAGTTCCGTCCTAGAGGATCATATTGTCACCGAGACCTTGCTTGTGCTCTGCTGGGTGGAAAGGTCCTGTGAGAGGCTGTTCTTCTGAGCGTGTGCGTGTAATTCTTTTTTACGGACACCAGCGAGATTTGATGTCCGAGGATAGCATGGAGTTCCGACAGTACAGCTCTGTTGGAGATTGCCCGGTTTGTCGGGGAAGCAACTTTTTTCGTGGGAATGCTTGTACCTTTGTCTAAGCCGACTCTGATTGCCTAGTACTGCTGTACGAGGAACGCACCAGGGCAAGGGCAGGAGTGGCGTGGTTACACAGATGCTACCACGTGGGGGCGTGCGCGAGGACCGAACCCCCCGCCGGGAGAGCTTCAGAGCTTTTCGCTCACGCTCGTCAATCACCAATAGTGCTTTTGCGGTCGTCCTCAAACGTTCTATCTTGGGCAACACTATCCTCAACAAAACAAGCGCCAGCTAAATAACGGCACTTTGGCCCCTATCCACAGTTTCACAATCACGTATTCTTCCCAAAAGGCAGCTTTAATCAGAAGGGAATCTTGGCGAGGAACCAGTCTACGTTGAAAGCTATGCAGTTCATGTCGAACGCCCAAAGACACTCCAATAATGGGTCGCTGAATACGAGGTAGATGGCTTCGACAAAAAACACCTTCGATGGCGGGAGGACGTGTTAGTCGCATCCTAACCCAGCACATACAAAACAAACGCAGGACGAAAAGACGCCCACCAAACAATACCGCCTTAAAACCACAGGGAAAACACATACACAACACAACACAACACAACACAACACAACACAACACACACACACCACCGCACAGGACCCTCACCCCGATCCCCGCGATACACACACCCCACGTCGGCCGCCGGTCCCGACCCCGCTTTTGCCACCTACTCCCGCTCTCGCCCTCGACCCCCCTCCCTGCCAAGTTTAAGTTTCCGACAGCACTCTAACTTGCGCGTTTGTGGCTCCTGGCGATGTTGTGCTCTGGCCTCATCAAGCCGGCCACCTCCAGCTCCTTGCGGATGGCCTCCCTCGGCTTCNATGACCCTCACCCCGATCCCCGCGATACACACACCCCACGTCGGCCGCCGGTTCCGACCCCGCTCTTGCCCCCCACTCCCGCTCTCGCCCTCGACCTCCCCTCCCTCTCTGCCAAGTTTAAGGTTCCGACAGCACTCTAACTTGCGCGTTTGTGGCTCCTGGCGATGTTGTGCTCTGGCCTCATCAAGCCGGCCACCTCCAGCTCCTTGCGGATGGCCTCCCTCGGCTTCGACGCCTTAGCCTGGTTCTTCACCGGGCGCCCGGTACGCACTGGAACGGTCTCCAAGTTTTCGCTGCTGATGAGGCCGTCGCCGTCAAAAGCGACCTCGGGCGGAGGAATCGCAGACCCCGTGTTGTCCGTGGGAACGTCCACCTTTCTATNCACCTCCAGCTCCTTGCGGATGGCCTCCCTCGGCTTCGACGCCTTAGCCTGATCCTTCACCGGGCGCCCGGTACGCACTGGAACGGTCTCAAAGTAGTCGCTGCTGATGAGGCAGTCGTCGTCAAAAGCAACCTCGGTCGGAGGAATCGCAGACCCCGTGTTCTCCGTGGGGACGTCCACCTTTCGATCCCGACAGAAGTTGTGCAGGCGAACGACGGCGTTCACCACGTGCTCGAACTTCTCGATGCGAACCTCCACGGGGCGCCAGAGGATGCCCCATCTCCTGACCTGTAGGCCGTCATCGCAAACCAAGACCAAAGGGGAACACCGTACCATCTTTGACAAATTCAGACCCCAAACTCAAAATTCAGGCGGCCTGTCTCCTTGTCCCTCCCTCCCGGTTCAACTATCCCAGCAGCAATGCACGTGTGCACCTGTCCTACTTGATGGTAGTCTCTCCCTAGCCGTCTTGTTGTTGTTGTTGTATTCACATGAAAAACCGTTCCGATCTCTCTCTACCCAGTGCCTTCGTATGTCCGTACTGATCCAACACTCGACGCGGTCGATTCCCGTGGTCGCAGAATAATTTACCCTAAAAAGGTACACTAAAAAATGACCCCGAGGGGTCCGCAAGTCAATAGAAATCAACGACAGATATTCTGGCGTCCTCCACTCCCTCTGCGCGCTATGCGAGGTAACAACTGAGACTAGGAGTCACCATCACGGGCCGGAGAGAATGGGGTACACCCCCTTGGTTCAATCTTGCTACTTCACAACGCATGCAGAGACAAGGCCATCTGGCACAGAAAAAGAGAGAAAAAGAGAACAAGAGAAGAAAATAAAAGAAAACAGAAAGGAAAGAGAAAATGAAATAAAAAGAGCGAGGACAAAAAGGGACGAAGCCGAAAATAACAAGAAATAAGAGACAGAAAAAGGCGCACGGTGGAGAGACCACTAACGACAAGCAAACACGCAAACATGGCCACCAACCGGCGATACATTGTAATGGTACGTCATCACTAGTGGGGGATTGGTGCAATGGTGCAGCGTTGAGGGGGGGGGAATTGGCTGAGAGAAACTCAATCCGGCACGTATCGCGCCACTCGGTCCGTCTCCCCTCGTTTTCTTTCTTCCCTCGCCGTCCCGTCCGTCTCCTGACCCCTCCCGCCCCATTGATTGCTGGCTTGTGGTGTCGTTTGAGCGCCCGTTGGCGGCTGGCCTCTTCTTCCTTCTCGTGCCAGGAGGTCATGAACCTCTCAGCTCCCTGCAGCACCGCCGCATGCCAGGGTACTTCCCCCTCCACCTTCGCGGCTTCCGTCCACTTTAACTTCGGTGCCGTGTCATTCGGTACCGGGATTCCTAGACAACATGGATCGGTGTTCGTAGACCCGTGGTCGGCCCCGAACGCCTTCAGGTCGTCGAGCACACACTTCGGCCAGTTCTGTTCCTGTCCCCCCCTACGTCGCTTCTCCCCCCCTGCCAGTTCGCCGAGCATCAGTCGTTTCGGGAGTCGCCCGTCCGGCTGCCTTGCCAATGCTCCCGCGAACAGTAGGCGTCGTTGTCGGATCGTGGCTTCAACGCTCTGGCATTCGACCCTCTTCAGCGTCTGGGCGTAAGAGAGCTGCCGGTAGGTGTCTTTCTTGCGCTTGTACCCGATCACTCGAAGGAGCAGTCGGTGGTGTATCGACCGCAGCGTCTGATAGTGGCCGCTGAGTGGTGACCATGTCATGCAGCCGTACAGCAGTGCCTCCATCGCCTCCGCCTGGAGCAGGCGGATCTTGAGTCGGAATGGCGCTTGCGGTCTGTCGAAGAGCTCCCGGCCATATCGCCTGAGGCACGCCCACGCTCCTCTGTTCCTGTAGTTGATCTCCCGGGTGAGGTCTCCATGTTCGTTGCNGCCGGTAGGTGTCTTTCTTGCGCTTGTACCCGATAATTCGAAGGAGCAGTTGGTGGTGCATCGATCGCAACGTCTGATAGTGGCCGCTGAGTGGTGACCATGTCATGCAGTCGTACAGCAGTGCCTCCATCGCCTTCGCCTGGAGCAGGCGGATCTTGAGTCGGAATGGCGCTTGCGGTCTGTCGAAGAGCTCCCGGCCATATCGCCTGAGGCACGCCCACGCTCCTCTGTTCCTGTAGTTGATCTCCCGGGTGAGGTCTCCATGTTCGTTGCCGAGGCCACCGAGGTACCAGAACTCGGTCGTCTGGGCGTATTTCTGTCCCGCGACTTCGATGGTCAGCGGTGGAGACGGGGCGGGCTGTGATGTTGTAGTCGGCTTGCCCTTTGCGCGCATCAGGAGCGTCTTCGTCTTCTAATCAAAGCTTAACGTTCGATAGAAGCAGCTTTTTTTTTTTGCCTTCCGACAGTTGCAAATGTACCTCAGAAAACTTTCACTTTATGTCGCATACTCTACATGAATATTAAACCAATACGAAGTACAACAACATATGTAGGACTTATTTCTACTGCCACTTACATCGTGAAAAATCTCATCTTCAGCTTGAAAGCTATTGTGGTGGAAGTTCGACTAACTTCCATAGAAGTCGCTGGGTGAGCTTTCATTGTACTCAAATTTAGTACTGTAAGTTCCACGGAATTCGTCCACCTTCGGTTGCTTCCATGGACATAGAAGTTCGACTTCTATGGAAGTATGCTGTGTCACTCGAGTTTTCAGATCCCATGGGAGTCGACATTAGCGACGTCCACGGAAGCTGAGGAAACCCGGACGACTTCGATGCATGGAATGTAATGTTCGTAGGATGCAAATCATACTCATAGGGATTGTCATAGATGCTGTATCCCACTAGCTTCCATGGAAGGAATCACCCGAGTCCAGCGTCCATGGAGGAAGAATCATCGCGAAACACTTTCGTGGAATGTTCTTGAGAACTTTCATGGCTATCGCTCACGAGGATGCCCGCGATCTACTGCAGTAGCCCACCCAGCGGTACCCGAAAACACATTATCAGCTTCAGACAGGCAGCGCCGACCATGCTCGTCGCTTAAGCTTATCACAACAATACACACATTTACATATCCTCCTTCCGCACCCTCAACGAAGACAGCCGCGGAAATTTCGACATGCCGCCAGTCTGAATTTTTTTCCAGGCTAGCTGACCCCCGCACACTCGCAGGCCTTCTAGTGCGTCCTACTGATATCCACGGCAGCCTTTACCGTCAGCACCCACGGACGTGTCGCACGGAAGCTTCCGCGGACTTCCGTGGGCGTCGTCCGCAGTTGTTCGCCTATCGAGCGTCCGTCCGGAGACTTCGGGCGCGCCCAAAAAAAGAGTCAGATAGTCTGGTGTACACCGGTGACGACGTCGCCGAACTCCCACGCACCCTCGGTGAGAGCGAACTATCCTCCAATGACGCAACTGCAGGTCATGTCCTTGTCCCCACGTTTGGTGTCTCCGAAGGGTGTGCATGGACTGATACTTGCGGCACTATGTCCATATGTGCGTACTGAGTGTACTGAGCGCGCGCACACCCCGTGCGGTTCATTTCAACACGTATTCAAGGTTGGTTTGATCGTTTTACGGACAAGAGCCAAAGTCCCCTATAACCTACCTTAGAGTGCGTTTCCAAGACACCCACACCCGCGAACCCACTCGCCGGTTTTTGTTTCTTGGGCGACGTCTATAGCGACAGGTGGCCGCTCTAACCCTTTTGGTGCAATAGCAGCTGCGCAACCATGGAGAGCGCCGCGACAGAGCCCTTCGCGGAGTGGTTTACAGGCGAATTCCTGCCCTTCGGAGACCTCGTGAGTGACGTCTGGCTCTGGTCGACCTTGCCCCGGGAAAAGCCAGAGGACTACAGCTGCTCGGCGGAAACCTACACGGTGCGGCCGACGCCGTGCGAGCGTGTCTCGTTGCGGTTCTTCTCGTCGGGGTATTTCGACGCACCTTGAGTGCGCGTACGATACGTGCTCGCGATGTTTCTGTACAGCCGAACGGACTGTGTTGGGGTTGTGCTCCCTCTGTAGAACGTGTTGGTTGGATGTGACATACAACACTCCCTTCTGCACCCGTGCGTGCGTCAGGAAGGAAATGGCAAAGAGGTGTTCTTGAAGTACCAGTTTTGAAAAGGTGGGCGTTGACAAAAATCTCTGCGATGGAGAGAGATGTGCACCAGTACACGTCACGCACTCACGCTAGACACAGATGTTTCTTCTATAACGCCGAGCTGGCCATAAGAGAGGAACAGAAAGAGAAAGAGGGAGATCTGCGCAAACGGTAACGACGTCTTCGAGCATGCCCAACCCCGTCTGAGATCCCATGAGGTTCTAACCGCTCTGCCGGAGTGTTATACTTGTTTCTTAAACGCCATGGCCGCCCCGCAATAATGGTGGGGAGTATATTGGCTTTATGGGAAGAAGTCTCCTGGACTAGGAATTAGTCGACCGCACCGTACGTTGTGATTGTTCATTTTTTCGCCCCATAGACCGAGGCGAGATTGCTTTTTGTAACCGCTTAGATGGAAACAACAAGCCTCAGAGGTACGCGCCGAATCATGGATGCTCCGAGCATCTGCGACCTTCCAAGCTGACACATCAAAACCTTCGATGACATATCTCGTCCCCGTGTCTTCCTCACCGCTCGCACCAGCTCGCTGTGAGACTTGCGCCGCATATCGTCCTCGCTCCTGATTTCTGCACTTCGATTGTTACCCCGTCTCAGGTGATGCGGGCTCTGCTGATGGTGGGAACCGTAATCGATGCCATCCCGGACGTTGCGATACTGCTGGGGCTGCTGGCGGGGCTGGTGGTCGCCGTTGTGGGCAAGGCCAGAGCCGTGATCAACCGCACGGAACAACGGCAAACACTTCCAATCAGTGTGAGGAACGTGGTGAAGAACGTTCCGGGCCTGGAAAGGTGAGTGTGATCGCCGCCAACCTCTCGTGCGCATTTTTCGAAACCCTTTTCAGCGGTGGTTGTTGTTCACCTCACATGAAAATCGGCGGCTGCGCCGTTGCTTTCCGTCTGTCGCTTGTACAAGAGGTGTCGCACATGCCGTGGATGTTGAAATATGAGCAAGAGTATAGCTCCAACCCCAAAAAAAAACTACAGCTATGAAAATGTAGCTCAAGAGGAACGCAGGAAAATGTATTCGATGACTGTGGAGTCCGATCTTTACTGCCTCGCGCTTTTCCTGCGGGAGTCGCAGAGAACCCCACGAACAGTACGAACGAATCATTTCGCCGTGGCCACGTGACACAGACGTATCCACCTCTTGCCTCCTTCATCCGCGTTCCTTGTGACGCCTGCCCCCCCGTGATTTTGCTCGAACAACAGCACCTTGGGGTAGTGGCATGTATTCGGAAAGCGTGACGTGTAAATCGACTTTTTCGATGTGTTGGTGGACGGAGTGAGGTGCTTCGGCATCTTTTTTTTTGTGGATGGCGGACGATAGCCATTCCGCTCTTAGGCAGGCGGGCGTGACGATCTCGCAACGTTTCGGGTGCATTCAGCGCCGAGTTTGTTTGGCGCCACCGAACGTGAAAGGAAAGGTCGTTTTTTTTGCGGAGCATCTCCCGCTGTTGTATCTTCGTAAATCGGGGTAATTCAGAGTTCAATATATACAGCAGCTCCACTTAAGGCCAACCGCAAACTCTGGAAAAACGCTTTTCTTTGTAACGAAACGGAACATCTCAGGTACGTCTTCTCCGACGGAAAGTCCATCGCCAACTTCCTCATCAACCGGGTGGGCCACAAGGAGACCACCTGGGACAACACCATGGAGCTCGTGGCGTGGCACACGCTCATCTTCTGCCACGCCCCCTTCCTGTCGGTGCAGAGGCGGTGCTTCCGGTACCAGGTCAACCCGCAGTTCAACGGCTACCTGACGATAATCCTCGTCCAGCTGATCGCCGGGGGCCTGACTGAGGCCAGCTCGATCTGCTTCGCGGTGATGGGGGGCGGGACCGTGTCGATCGTCAGCGCGTGGTTCGGGCTGTACTCCCTGGTCATGACCACCATGCTGGCCGTGTACCGGGGAAACCTTGTCCGGAAGTTTGGGCCCAACGCCACCCTCGCCTCCCCCGCGGCGGAGCGGGGCGGCTGCTGCCGCGCGCTGGACGGGGTCTCCGACGCCCTGTGCGGCCTCATCACGGCGGCCGTGTTCGGGCTCAGCGCCTTCATGATCATCATGGGCATCACCTTCTTCTCCACGGTTGGGGCGTCCTCCACGGAGGCCCGGATGCTAGTGGTGCCCGGGTCCGTGGTCGCCCTCTTGGGCTGGGTCTCCAGCCAGCTGCTGATACGCCACTACCACAGCACGTCGCAGGTTGGGATGATCATTCGAGAGCAGGAGCCTGGCGTTTAGGCTTCTCAGGGCTGCTGCTGCTGCTGCTGCTGCTGCTGCTGTGTTATCGTCATTCGTGTGCCTATTTTTCTGGTGGTAAACAGTGGTGGTGAAACGCATTTTGATTTCATTATTGGAACGCCGGCTGGGTAATTCTCCTCGTGGTAACTTAACATCAGGTTTGATCACTACGGTTCCTTTCGTCGAGGTCTTCGACTTCGGCAAAGAGGTGCCACGGATCGAAGTCGCTCGTCGGTGCTTATCTTCCGTGGGGCTAGGTCTACACAACCGAATGTATATATCATTATGTAGATATATATGCGTAGACAGAGAGAACATCAACTGGACGTTCGCCTCCAGCGGAAGTCCAACGCAAGCACGTAAGGAGTCAACATGTGCATAAGTTTACGCTGTGTAGGCTACTTGGTCCTGTTGCGCAATGGTCACCAGGGGGGAGAGCACAAGCTGCTATTGTTGTCAGGACCCGACGGTAGTGTTTGAGATCCATAAGGTCTGGTGTGCTTCGTCAAATAATTTCGTGGGGTGGCATGTGACGCTGTTTTCGCACGCTTTTCACAGAAGAAATTCGCTTGGTTTTATACAGTACGCACCCGATTTTTAACGGTCGGGGACGCAAGAGTTTTTTAGGGCGTCCAACAGAGCCTCCACCAAAGGTTAACATTTGATACGTATTATTTTCGTCTCGATAGTGCTGTAACGTCTCACAAGCGCTCGTCGCGTGCGCCAGATGCTTGTCTTCAAGTCCTCTCCCAGGACTACAAAGACAAGCCCGGAAAACCTTTGTAGTGGCTCAGGGCTACGCCTTTCTGAGAGGGAAAACGGCAACTACACAAGTCCCGCCTCATATCCTAGGGGTAAGCCCCGGGGAGGTTTTGTGGTGTGGAGGGTTCTTGTCGTGAATACCACTGAGTATGTGTTTGCGCCACCAGAGGTTGCGTGAAGGCTTGTGAGGGCGTACGCAGTAAATTGGTGCTCGTCGGGTTGTCGTTTCCAATGACGGCCACGGTTAGTTGTTGAGGAATCGATGGAGTAACAACATGCATGGTCGGGATCGTTAGCATTGATTGCGCGTTGCGTATCAGAAGGGTAAACAAGCGGAATGAGTTTTCGAATGAGGGTAAACTGAGCCCGGATGGACTCTGACTTGATAAAACAAGTCTATCGTCGCCTCTTCTGCGGCGAATTTTTTGTTTCGCCCGGCGGAGGTGAATGTACTCCTCGTGCTGAATGTCTCGGTGCCTCAATCATCGCCCGCAGTATATTAGCATGCGTACTGCATCCTGTTGGTGACATCAGTTCGCTCGAGGCGATCCATACTCCCACAGACTGTAGAATCGAGGTACCCGACAACCGACACATGCGTGTCAGATTCGTGCGCGTACATTTCCGTGTGTGCTACTACATGCAACAAGGTTACATATCGCGTGCCGGAGGGCATTCTGTGAAAGGTCATCCAGGCAGGTTTCTGGTGTGTGGCCGCCCGTTTGGGATATCACTTTTTGAGCGTGGGTTTGCCACAAGGGAATCTCACCTTCGTGCGCGTTCAAACAAAGAAAACAAGGCCGAACTCACATGGTGTAGCGGTCACTTTGCACGCTTACAGGTTCTGTTGGCGAGGACTATCCTTGTGGTGCGTTCCATGTCACGGAGCGGTACAGGTAGGGTGCTCCCATCCAGACTTTCGTGTACAGCAGTAGACTAGTGCGATGAAAAGAAACACCAATCAATTTCCATCGATGATGAAAATGTTAGACAAGCCGGAAGTACCGTCCATGTTATTGTTGCACACACACCAGCACAGGCTACAATCTACTGTCTGATACGGCTGCAGTTTGACATGTATACAGATGGCGCCCGCACTCAAGAACTTAGCAGTTAAGAAATGCAGCCTCGACAATAAAAATTTAAGAACTTGGCCACAACAATACGTGCTCAGTGCCGACGTGGTTTTAAGAACAAGAACCCGTATTTGTCGTTTGACAAAGCGCCTTCGGATAACAGCAGATCCCCAGAAAAGAGGCAGCTGCAAGATAAGAACTCATAAAGGTGGTGAGGGGTAACTCACGGGGTGCCCGGTGACCCCACCCACCGGCAGTTTCGGATCAGCGACGAGGAGGGGGATCTCCGTTTCAAATAATACTGGTGCGGAGGGGGCGGGGCGGGGCGTACTCTTATGTTTTGCATATCTTAGTGGTTAGACCATTGACCACGCGTCCTCGAGAGGACGCAATATTGTTTCCACAGGCCCAAAGACCGATGGCCAGTCGTTCCCTCGTACTTTACCAGGAAAAGGTATCTCAAAAATGTTTCCCCTAGCCTATCTATCCTATCGAAATCACGCCCCGCCTCTTCAACCCACGTTCTACAAACTGGAGAAAAGTCTGTACAGCCTGTCACAGTCCCCGTCACTGCTGTGGAACGACGCCATCAATGACCGACTCATCATCTTCGGCTGGCAGCGCACTCACCCTGACCCCTGTGTCTACACCTCCGAAAGCGGGGACGAACTCACAATCCTCGCGATCTACCGTCAACAGGAAAAAGAAAGAACTCATGGACAGCTTCGAAATGACAGACATGGGAGAGGTCAAGCGCGTAATTGGCATCGAAGTGCAGTGATAGATATACTTGTAGCAATGCCAAGTGGTTGTAGATTGTGTGGTACGTGGAATGTATTTCCAGGGTGTGCAAGGTACTCCTGTTGTATACGGCGTCGCCCCCTCATGGTGGTGCGTGCACGCGTGCGTTCAGTTCATGTGAGTTCATGTGAAGGAGAAGTTTATGCAACAAACCCTACACGTCTTTCCTCCTTGGCGCGAGTTCGCCGAGTTGCCGACACCCTATTCAACACGCATCTTGCGACAAGCTACCCCCAGTTCGGATCATCCTAACACGCTAGCGTGCTGGTATCATACGGGATCCCGAGGTGAGGTTAGCTACAAAAGGGTTCGGATGGAGGAAGCCTTCGACCTCAGCAGCTATACTGAGGAGAATCGCCAAGCATTAGCGGCGCACATCAAAGAGGAGGTGGAAAAAAAAGTACAACAGGAGATGAAAGAACAAGAAGAAAAGCGTCCCGCTTCAGAGAGCGTGGACATGCCCCCCGATGTAGGCGATCCCCGGCATGCTCGGCCGGCTGGAACAGCGTTGAACCCGCAACCTGAAGACCAGCCACGATCGTTGGAGGACCGTCTCGTTGATTCGTTCGCACGGGCAATGCGAAGGACCAACACCCGGGGGGAGGAAACCAGGGAAGTCGTAACCCCTAAGGACACCATCCGTGTCAGCTCTGTAATACATGTAGCCCCGTTTACGGGTGTGTTAGATTCCAGCGGCGATGTTCAAGTTAGAATACAGGTGTTTGAGAGCCAATTTCGAATGCTGTTGCAACAAGAAGATTGCCTGAGTGCATTAGTATCAGAAGAGACAATGAGGGTGGGGAAGTCGGATGCAGACATTCCCAAACTGAAGGAGGAGCATGGTGGGAAGGCCGTAGAGAAGGCCACACCTGTAGCCATTCGGCTACCCCTGTGTGAACCCTGCAGGCAAATAGACCCTGTACGGACGCTGTGACCACCTGTCTAGGTAATCGGTCCCCACAGGGTCCACGGGCAGGAACCCTCTGCCAGGGTGTCGACACAACCAGGGTTGTACCAGTCATTTCTACGATACATTTAGTCTTGTAAGGTGTGTTTTGCCTCTAGGGTACAGCCCCAGCATTATTATACCGATGGTCCAGCAATCTACTGCTGTACACCGAACACGGCCGTTTTTTTTTTTTTTTAGATGCACGCGATAATGGTGCTCGCTGCTGGGGGTGGAAAGTGACAGTCCCGTTCACAACTTGCACAGGATAACAGGGTTCGGCCGTGCTGCTATAGGGCATGGGCCGCGCGTCATCCGTGGGCGGCGGCGGTCGACTATCCGGTCTACTCGGCGGCCGCGGCTCTGGCAGTGCCTCGGCCGGTGCCCCCTCCGGGTGGCCTGGCGCTGGTTCTTCGGAAGGTGGCGGGTCAACCAGTGGTGTGTCATCGGATCAGAGCGCAGGAAGACACCAGGCTAAATCCAGACATGTGTCGACTGGCATCAACGGCAACGAGAGTTCAGCTTCTGGTACATCACACAGTGGCGGTACCAGGTCCGGTGGTCCCACGGGCGGTGGTTCCACTTCGACCGGGGCGAGCACCACGACCTTCCGCACCCTGGGTAAGCGCTCTGTTCAAGAGCGCCACAACAGCGAGGAGTGCCACGAGACGGGCATTGGCGGGGAATCAACCATCAACATGGATATGTCCGGACAAAACCTCTTGACGCGCTTGACACTGCGCTGGTGCCCAAGGCGGCGAAGGCCGCGCTGTTGGGCCTTTTGCTGCAGCTCATCAGCCCCAACGTGGTGAGTGGTTTCTTTTTTCATGAGAAGAAGGGTAAAACGTATTGTCTCTGTCTTTGTGTCTTTGTTTTTTCTCTTGTTCGAGTGGAAGTGGAGCATGCACGCGCTGGTGGTCTGATCTTAGAATCACCACCCTTTGGTTTTTTGGTTTGTGAATCTGTGGGGAATGCTTGGACTTCGGCCGCGAGCCTAGTTGCAGTGGTCTAGGATAAGGTAACTGTTTTATCGTTGCGTAGCCTTGGCATCGGGTTGAGAGCAGGAGGGATGGGCTCTGCGTCTTTATTTCTGAGTGAGGTTCTTCCTGTTTTCTCTTCGTTTTTTTTTGCCGATTTCAACCCCCGATTTGTCATTTCGCCATTATATCTCGCATTTGATGTTCCTCTTCGCTAATTAATAGGTGTGTACGGCTTCAGGGGCTGGTTGCCCTGTGCCCACGGGAGGCGTCCGCGTTACTCGCACCGGTCCATATGTTATTTGACGAAACCTTGCCACCCAAATATCACGCGCAAACACTTCCTGCCTGTACGCGATAACCACATTTTCTATCGTCCATGTTCCTGTGTTTTCTCGCTCACCCCATGTACTTTATAGTGTCCGCGTCGCCTTTCTACATCAGGAGACATTCGCTTGCTGTCTTTGCTCGAACACAGGCCAACATGCTCGGCGGCGAGTCCTCCAAGAAGACAGTGAGTGGGCCCCGGCGACAAGACTGCCCGCGGGGTCGCTGCGAACGTCATGAGTGTTTACGCCTATGGGTTCGTCGGCCCCGCCAGGATGCGATTTTCCGGCGGGGGGCCCACCAACGCTCTGACAAACCCTTTCCTAGCGTTGGGTTCTCACGCGTGGCCGGGAGCGAGGCAAAACATGAACACCTTCCCCGGTAATCCTGGTTTCCGTAGTTGTTGGTGCTACCCTGAGGTTCAGCAATCCTGTCGCTGCATGGTAACGCATTCTGGCGTTTGTTTGCAGACCGTTCGATTATCAACTCCACTGTCATATAACCCAACCCAGCGGCGAAATCACGACATAAATACTACAATATTAACTCGGCCTCTCACAGAACCACGTTTCCGTCTGTCCGCGATGTCCTGGAAATTTCCCGCGCTTTATGTGGTCGTGTCATTCCGCCCCTTCGTCTGTATGTACGTGTTGTCGCTCTTCGTCTGCTTCACCGTTGAACGATGTGAGGTAGACTCAAATGACCCATGTGCGGATTCGTCCTCTCTGCACCCACTGCCACAGCCATATTCGTGAAAGCAGTCGTCTCGGCGAGGTCGGAACTACACGCAGAGATCCGCCAAGCCATCGCCGAATTCCTCATCCCTCTCATGGAAGGGGAGGCATCCACGAACAACCCGATGACCGGTGCGGACCTCCTCCGTGGCGTCCGCGAGCGGATAATGGACGTCGACCCCGAGTCGGAGGTAAACGACTCAAAAACGAGCCTACCGAAATCTTCTGGTCAGCGCGCAACGCTCTCCTACGTCCCGTACACAACTAACCCCTTTTCCCTACTATTTGTGTGAACTCGGCCTTCCCAGGAACTGACTGCACTGATGACCCGCATCATGTGGCGCTTTACCAAGGCGCACCAAGCTTCCACCCGCAAGGCCATCACCTTGGGGTACCTCTTGGGACCGGAGAGGCTGAAGGAAGACTTCCTTGGACAGGTGACGAAATGGTTGCGTGCACTCCTACTTGTCTGTAGACCCAGCGCCCGTTTATTTGTTAACGCCGCAGGCTGCTAGTATGTGCCTGCAACCCGAACAGGTCATCGTATTCCAGGACTAGAGCCCACATTATATGCCTCCGGTAGCGCGGGCGAGCGGTAGCAAGTTGAAGGACTTCCCATTTTTTTTGTGGGCTCTGGTTTCGTCTTTCCCCTCGTCCTCTTGATGACAACCTTCTTTTGTCTTCCCCCTCATCCTCTTGATGACCCTCAATTGCACATCAGGTTGTCACTCCCGCATTGCTGCACGCAGCTAACGACATCGCGGCCCTTCCGGTCAACGAGATCGGCACCCACGAGACAATTGTCTGCAAGGTCACTCGGAAGTCGAGAGCCTGGATCAAGCTATCTGCCGGCGGCTTTGGTTCCGCCAACGCCCGGGCCTTCCAAGAGAGGTAAGCGATGATCCCAACGACCTGCATTCCCGGAGTTACACTAGTATTAGGGTACGTTAGCGTCTCCCACAGAAAAGATAGATTAGAGTTAACCTCCGTTATGGTTGCGACAATAATATTTTCTATCTGTACCATACGTGTTTTGGATGGCGGTCTTCATATGAGAAAAAACATTTACTCTTCGTGATGGCTGTTGATGACCATGTGTAGCACACATGTGGAGCGACAAACAACTGATCCGAATCGGTGCGCACCCCCCCCCTCTTCCCCACGACGGCCCGACCCAGCCTATGGTACAACTTGTTCCAGTTCATGACTGGACCGCGACGCTGCACGGCGGCGATCCTTACCATCCCCAGCTCCGACTTCCACAAGCCGGAGATCATGCGCTTCCTCGCCCCCTACTACGTCGACAAGGACAGCCTCGTCGTGCCGGAGACCCCGGCGGCAGACGTTCACGTCCAGGATGATGATCTTGAAGCATACCTCAACGACGTGTTTTAATGTTTTGCGTGCGAGGGGCGGGGCCATGGCCGTGTTGATGGTATATGGGAGGTGCCCATGAAGAGTGCATCTCGAATAGCATCGGTGCATCCATCTTGTCATGAAACCTCCACTATTTGCGGGAGATGTTGGCGCGGGCCGGCTGTGAGCTACGAATCCGTGTTTCATATACCTTACCACTGGTACGCGTTAAACGAGAAGTTGACAAAGTCATGTTTCTGTGGCCGGGGGATTGGATGGATGATTACATTAGCGTGATGGGAGTGGTGCACGTGGGTAGCTGTCGTCGCTGCATCGAGATTGGTATGGCTCGAGCCTCGCGTCTTGATATTTCCGTATCTCATGCATGGTCCATCGAAGGAAAAGTCTTCGGGGCAGTTTTTCCCGATGTTGTACGTAGTTTCTCACAAAGTACCTCAATTTTTTTTCGGTTTTCAGTTTATTCCATCACAAGAGAATATTCATCGTGGCAAAATTTAATGGGTGTAAGTTACTCAAAGAGTCCTTCAATTTCTTGTATTTTTAATTTTTTTCCATCGAGAGAACTTCATCGCGTTGGTTTTTAATTGTTCCATCGAAAGAATAATTCTTCGTCGCAGTTTTATAGATTTTTATCTTTTTACGATGGAATCAGATAATTTGGGGGAGAAGGTTTGGCATTCATTGCCAGCTGGCTATGCTGGGCACATGGAGCGTGTTCGTTCGTGTTATGTCGAAGAAGCAATATATATTGCGTGCAGCGTTCGGCCTCTGTACGTGCCATCGGCGGCTAAGTTGTTGATAGAATTGACGCGGCGGAGTCGTACCGTACATGTTACGAAGGGAGGGGGAAGCAAGGAAAGGCACGGATCAGGGCGGGGGGCGGGGGGGTGTCAAAAGGCGACATATATGGCGTGGATGAGCTTGAGCGTGTTTGTACGTCTAGGAGCACTACAGTACATGCTGCTGCAAGGGACGACAAGGGAAAAACAAAAAAAAAGACAAATAAAACAAAAAATACAACGAGAGAATAACCAAACAAAAATCGAAAGGAAAATATCCAAATTTTCGGCCCCGTCAGTCCACTTGGCTGNAGTTGCATCGATCGTACCAGCAATCATCTCTAGTGGTTGCCCAACGGAGTCATGGCGAATATTTCGAAATCATTTTCAAGTGCATGCCCACACAGAAAAGACGAGCCTCCAGCTAGAGTGGCAAGAGTTGATGCAAGGGGTTCAACAACACCCGAAAGAGTACCTGTCGAGAGGGTGGGTGCTGAGGCAAAGGCTATCATCTTGCGGAGTGACAATTACAGAGGATGATGCTAACAGACATCTTGTGCGCAACCTCCTCCCCGAATATGATGTCTACACAGGTTTTCTGATGTCCGAGAGAGGTCTAGAGAAGTAGAGAGTAGAACGGATTATCGTGAATGCTTGGGCGGAGATGGAGGCGCGAAGGAAGAAGAAGCAGGAGAGCGTGGTGGCTTATGCCCTCGTCACTGGCGGTGAGAACCGTAGTGGCAGGGGAGGGAACACGGGGGGACCGGGGAAGACGAGAGGACAACGAAGGACGGCAGCGCGGCAACAGAAGCAACAACCGCAGCAGCCACAGCAGCAGCATCAGCCGTACTTCAACCAGCAGCAACAGGTATACCCGCCGTCGTACCCG